TGAAAAATAAATAAAATATGGATTTCCGGATTTTGAAAACAGAAGAACATTCAGGGCAAAGGACACAGTCAACAAGACAAAAAGACAAAAAGGCAGCCCACAGAATGGGAAAAGATATTCATTAACCCCACATCTGACAGAGGGCTGATCTCCAAAATCTACAAAAAACTCAAGAAGCAAGTCTCCACAACACCAAAGGATCCAATTTAAAAGTGGGCTACAGAACTAAATAAAAAATTCTCAATAGAGGAGTCTAAAATGATGTTGAGAAAGTGCTCAACATCCCTAGCAAGCAGGGAAATGCAAATCAAAACAACTCTGAGATACCATCTTACTCCTGTCAAAATAGCTAAATCAAAAACACCAATGACAGTTTATACTGGAGAGGATGGGGAGAAAGGGGACCACTCCTCCACTGCTGGTGGAAGTGCCAACTTGTACAGCCATTATGGTAGTCAGTATGGAGATTCCTCAGAAAAATGGGAATCAGTTTACCACAAGACCCAGCAATCCCACTCTTAGGCATATACCCAAAAGATGCACATTCATACAACAAGGATGTCTGCTCCACTATGTTTATAGCAGCACCATTTGTAATAGCCAGAACATGGAAGCAACCTAGATGCCCCTCAACTGAAGAGTGGTTAGAGAAAATGTGGTACATTTACACAATGGAGTACTACTCAGAGAAAAAAACATTGGAATCTTGAAATTTGCAGGCAACTGGATGGTACTAGAAGAAACAATAATCATATATACATATATATGTATATGTATAAATATGTGTGTATATGTGCTCTATATAGGGTGTATATTATATATGTTATATATAGTATATGCATATATGATTCCTTTTCTAACTGGTTTGACAGAGTACTGATGTGGGATATCCTTCTGTGTATGTGTATTTCTTATTGGTTGATGAATAAAACACTGACTGGATGCTAGCCAGGCAGGAAGTATGGATGAGGCTATAAGATGAGGAGAATTCTGGGGAGAGGAAGGTAGAGAGGAGCCACAGGAGCCACAGAGAGACACCATGTAGAGACTCAGGAGATAAGTTGTGCCAGGCATTCTCTGGTAAGATAAGGCCACATCGTAATAAATGGATTAGTAGTTATGGGTTAATAATTAAGAGAGAACTAGCCAGTAAGAAACCTAGCCATCAGCCAACAGCCTAATAATTAATACATCTCTGCATGCTTATTTGGAGCAAAATGACTATCAGACCAGGCAGGCCATCATCAGAGTACTAAAATTGAAAGGAGAAAATGAGGACACTTGGTAGAAATGACAGAATTATCCAAGTGCACCGAGATCTGTGATGTATACACCAGGTGTCTTTCAAGATAAAGAGGTATATAATAAAAGATGTTAACTGATAGTTACAACTTCTGATACCAACTGAACAGTTATTCCATGGCTGATTAACATTCCATTTAGCTCACATTATGGCACAGATTTATAGTATTGACCTCATGATGGGTTAGCCAGAATTAGCTGTTGTCAAGGCCTTTATTGAAGGGAGGAATAGATACTGCTGGGTACCATGTAATACTGACTTCCTGTTTTATATAGATTCTTATTCTAATAAGTGCATGTCTGTGTGTATATAGTGTGTGTGTGTGTGTGTGTGTGTGTAGCTTCCCAGTTTAAGTGCAAGTGGAAGTTATAGGTGGAAGTCCATTGTCTATCTCTATCACTCTCCACCTTGGTTTACAGGATAGGGAATCCAATGAATCTAGAGTTCAACATTTAGCCTAAATTGACTGGCCAGAGAGATCCCAGAACTCACCTATTTCTGACTACCTGGATTTACAGGCTCATATTGCACACAAATATTCTAATGTTGGTGCTGGGGATCCAGATTATGGTCCCAATGATTACCAAGAAAGTACTTTACTAACTGAGCCATTTCCACTGCCAACGTTTTGTAAGGTACCTCTGGAGAAAGTAAGTTCAAGAAGGCAGAGTCACACTCACCTCTGCCATTGCTTATACAAAGGACTGAGCAGCCCTATTGTTCCTCCTACCATTAAGAATACAACATCAAAATGCCAGATTTAAAGAACAAAAATAACGCAAGAACCAAATTTAATGCCTTAAGATTAACCACTGTCAGGATGCTTAAAACACATATGGTTTGATATGTATGAATGTTTCCTTATATATAAGCATATATACAAATTATATATATATATAAATGCTACACACGCAGCCATGTGTGTGTGTGTTTGTGTGTGTGTGTGTGCTTGTGTGTGTTCCATGTGTGCCTGTGAGGATCAGAAGAGGACATCAGCATAAGGTCCCCTGGAACTGGAATTGCAAACAATTGTTACATATGATGTGGTGCTGGAAATTGACCCTGTGTGCCAAACAGTATTTTGCATGCATGTATATGTGTGCAGTATGTGCATGCCCAGTGTTCATGGACATCTGCAGAAGCCACCAGATCCCTTGGAATTTTGCTAATGGATGATTGTGAGCCACTGTGTGGGTGCTGTTACCCACACCTTGGTCCTCTGCAACAGCAACAAGTGTTTTTAGTTGCTGAGCTGTCTTTCCAGCTCCATGATGTGTCTAATAATTTACAACATGGTCCATTATTTCTCCCCTTCTCTTTCTATGTGTCTTTTGGTATTTGTTTGTGAATTCTATAAAGCTGGTTGCCAATTCTGAGTTAAGGGTAAAAGAAAATAATTAAATATATTAAGTCCATAGAGTTGTACTGATAAAAGAATCATTTGTTACTTGTTCACTTCCCAGAACCAGATGTGATTCACAGAAGATGCCTGTTTGTAAACACAGGATAAAGCATTTACAAACAGACACTGGGAAGCAATGCAAAGAAGGGTCTCAGAGAAATCCTATGGTTCTGTCCCAGCAGTAAGTTATTGTATCTCAGTGGTTTTTGAATTACTGTTGGCTATCGGTGTGTGACTGAAACTCTATCTCAGTGACTGTTTGCAACTTAGGTGTTTGTAACGTGTGCAATTCCCTAAGAAGGGTCAGAAGTTTGTGATGTAAAAAAGTTGGACCTTGATTCTTTAGGCAATGTCTCAAGTACAGGAGATTATGCTGAGGGTATTCCAATTTTATCCAATGTCATTAACTCATCAAGATTCAAAACTGAGCCCTATGCTTGGACAATGCAGAGGAGCCAGAAATCTCAATGACAATGAACGGCTACACTGTGCTTGAATGAGGGTGGTGGGCATATGAGTGCAGTATGCATGCTAAACACAGGCAAGGTAACCTATTTTCTATTGCATGCTGAACTTTCCCCATGTAGTCCTAAATCTGAGTAATGATATTGCTACAAATGGTGTCAGAAAATGAGAACATTTTCATTAAAGAAAAGTCCTTAACTTATTTAGCAAGGTTTCAGGAGGATATTTTGGCTTCCTGGTCTAAACGTTTTGGGTCAGATGTCTATGTTTACATGTGTTCTGGTCATTTCCTGTCTGTACACTTAGTAAGTTTGGGGAAGATGTACTCCAGGGAAATTAAAATTCCAGCTCCAACTTTTCATTCTCAGTCCCTCTTCCTTAGCCCCTTCCACTGCTCAGGCTATCTGAACTCTGTTTGTGATTCAATGTACCAGAAGACGAGAATCCCCTGCAGATCTTCAGCATGTCCCTCTGCTGTTCACAGTGAAAATTTCCTGAAGGGTCCGATGGGAAGAAGTGTTTTCATGGGTGATGTCAACTCTCAGAAGACAGTGTCATGGCTGTCTCCTGTGACATCACATCATCTTGACCTTAGGGTGCATGAGTCACTAACATTTACTGACTCAAAGAAAATATTATACACTCTATATGTAAGTGTGCAGAACTTTTCATTTCCCATATATTTAGACAACTATGATAAAACAGGAACTATATTCTTGGTGTTAATGATACGATAAACTAGTAAATAAAAAAGTTTTCATGCTTGTAATCTCAACATCAAGTCAACCTTTGCAAATATTAAGCTGAATATTTGTATAAAATTCATGTTCCATTTGTGATTAGCATTGTCATATTTTGATATTTCCATCTGATGAATGATATGCACCAATAGCATATACTAGGAATTAATCTTAGGAATATAATTATAAAATAGAGAAGTTTGTAAAATAGAGCCAAGAATGGCAGTGTCAATGATATGTACTTTAAAATTCAGATGAGTATCCCCTGATGAAAAATTTTGCTTCATATAACCTAGTAGATATTGTTTCTTTCCAAATTGTTACAGGTTGTGGTAAGTGCTGTTTGCCAGTGACAAAACTCAGGGAACATGTAGTTTCATAAAACTAACCCTTTACATCCTTTCTCACTGTTTACATCTCACATCATTGGAGAGTCATGTGGAAAGTGCGGACAACCAGCCAGCAATACTAACTTTGTCTTTGTAAAGAAGACTGTGACTAATGTCTGTTGGATCGAAAAAAGGGAATATTTTTAGCCTTAAAATACTTTGCAAACGTCTTTTGTTTTGTAATGTGCATTAGTGTTTTACCTTTATGTATGTCTGTGTGAGGATGTGGGACCCTGAGAACTATAAACATTTGTGAGCTGTCATGTGGTTGCTGGGTATTGAAACCCGGTCCTCTGGAAGAGCACCTAGTATCCTTCATCACTCAGAATCTAGAAACTTCTTATTCAAAAGCACTTATTGGGGCCTCTCAAGAAGTTTCTCTGGGTTATAGAGGCATACTACTCTTATTGAAGACTAGAATTTAATCCCAGAAGCAACATCTGGCACCTAAGCACTGATTGTAACACTGACTGGCTCCAAAGTCACCTGCACTGAAGTGAATATTCTCACACAAAGACACAAGCATATACATGTAGATAAAAATTTAAATACTCTTAAATGTGTTTTATCTTTATACTTGAATGGAAAATACTTATTATTGGTTTAGCATGGATTTTATGTACAATGAAGAAAATAGTCTTAAATGCCTATCCTGAGTTCCCAGGATCAGATACTGAGTGACAATCCTATAAAACGACAAAATGGAATCAGGATACCTGGCCATTGGGATTTTCTTCCTGTCCCAGACTGCACTGGGCTTACTGGGGAACTCAGCATTGCTGTGCTATTTTATTCTCTCTAACTTCAATGGGAACAGGGTGAGGCCGACAGACGTGATTGTTAAACACCTGACCTGGGCTAACATCATAGTTCTTCTCTGCAAAGGAATCCCTCAGACAATGGTTGCTTTTGATCAGACATATTCCTTAGATAGAGTTTCATGTAAACTTGTCTTTTATTTTCATAGAGTTGCCAGGGGAGTATCCATTGGTTCCACATCCCTGCTGAGTGTCTTTCAGGCCATCACCATCAGTGCCCACACTTCCAAGTGGGCACAGCTGAAGGTCGGAGCCCCCCGGATCATTGGTCTATCTCTGGGCCTGTGCTGGGCCCTGTACCTATCTATAAATTACTTAATCATTGAGAGAGTGACTGATATGTGGGATAAAGGAAATCTTACTGAATTTAGACAATTTTTATACTGTTTAATGATAAAACTTCCCCAAACAACTTCCATAGTATATGCCATTGTATTGGCTACCAGTGACGTTATGTGCTTGGGACTCATGATGTGGGCCAGTGGCTTTATGGTGTTGATCTTGTTCAAGCATAAACAGAGGGTCCAGCATATCCACAGATCCTTGTCCTCTAAATCATTTCCTGAAGCCAAAGCCACACAAAGAATTCTTATCCTAGTGAGCAGCTTTGTGGTTCTTTATATAACCTCTGCCACATTAATGATGTATTTTTCTTTCAAGGATGGAGGAGATGCATGGGTGATCAATGTCAATGTGGCCATGAGTGCATGCTTCCCAGCAGTTTGTCCCTTTCTGCTCATCAGACACTACGCGAGGGCTTTTCATCCCTGCAGTACTTGAGTATATCAACAACCATTTTTTCCTTATGTAGTCAGAGCACTCAAAACATAGGCTGTATACACTGTTTTATGTTCAGTATGACCCCTTCACATCAAATGCATTCTGTAGGTATGACATAACCTAACATTTTTGGAACACAGTCTTAAATCCAGTTGCTGTCAATTGTTTCAATTTTGAACATTTTGGTACTAGATTAATTAATTAAATTAACATTTGTGGTGTAGAGGCTGTTTTGATTATTGTGATGGCTTCTAAATGTCTGATTATTATTCACTGATCTGTTATATAAAATGAATCACCACTGGTTTGTAGGGAGATCATCATCTGAAGCAAGCATAGAGCCTCAAGCTGATTCTGAGAGTCTGAACAGTTTCAGAACATGCTCCAGAGAGTGGTAACAGTGGGGACCCTAGAGATTGTTGGCATTGGACAGCACACAGAATTTAGGGTGTGAATTAGGTGCTGTCTTTCTCAGTTATTGATAGTAAATGACCAACTCTATGAAAATGCCATATGAGATGGACACCTGCTATTTTTTTCATATTTATGTGAGTATTTAGAAAGGACATGATAAGAAATGGGGGGATTATTAAAAACAGCTTATCAGATAATACTAATTTTTAATAATTCTTATTTATCTTTATGGGTTTTGCTTTCCTGCATTGATGGGGGAAATCCTTCTGTGTATATGTTGTCTTATTGATTTATTAAATAAACCACTGTTGGCCAATAGGGAAGCAAGATAGGTGGGACTAGGAGTTGAGGAGGATTCTGGGAAATAGAGGCACAGTCAGTCATGAGGTGGGATATGGGAGAAGTAGGAGGTCTGGACCCCTTTCTCCGGTAAGAGAAGACAACTTTGAATTATGCAGATTAGCAGTTATGGGTTAATAATTAAGTCAGAGCTAGCCAACCAAAAACCATAACAAATGACCAAAGCTTCATAATTAATATAGCGTCCTGTGTGTTCATTTGGGACTGATGTAGCTCTGGGACCATGCTGGCAGGAAGAATGCTTGTTACAATGTGTGTATATGTACTATGTACATTTTGGTATGCTACAGTGAACTTTCCCATGCCATAGGAGTCATGGAATGTTGTGATCTGTCATGTGCATGCTAGGAATGAAATCCAAGTTTCCACAAAACAAGAAGTATTCTGGATCAATGAGCCTTCAGTAGTTGACTTCTAAACCACATGCTTCAAAGAATAATGTTTGTCAAGAATAGATTGAGGCTGTTGTCAACAAATGAGTGGTTCAGGCTAAGATGCTTGCTTGGAGGGTAAATCCACCCTGAACCTTCCTGAAGCACCAAGACCCACAGACTGGATAACCAAACACAACTGGAAGCAAAAAACCCGATATCTATATAATCATGTCTAATAATAATCTGTGATACACATAGACTGTCACAGATTGTCATCAAAGAGGCTATATCCAGCAACTGAATCAGTCCCATGCTGTCCTCCCAGGCATCAGTCTGTGGTCCAAGAACTCCACCTTGTTCAGGTCAGCTATTTCTGTGGGTTAAACCAGCCCAGTCTTGACCCCTTTGCTCACCAGTCCTCCCTTTCTGCCACAGGATTTCAGGAGTTCAGTTCAGTGTTTAGCTGTGGGTGTCTGCCTCTGCTTCCACCAGGCACTGGATGAAGGTTCTGTTTCCCAGACTCTCTGGTAGTAGGATTGGATGCTGGCACTCCTCTGATTCATGTCTAAATTCCATATATGAGTGAGTACATACCATGTTTGTCTTTTTGTGACTGGGTTACCTTACTCAGGATGGTTTCTTCTAGTGCCGTCCAATTTCAAGATTCCATTGGTTTTTTCCCACTGCATAGTACTCCATTGTGTAAATGTACCACATTCTCTCTATTCACTCTTCAACTGAAGGGCATCTAGGCTGCTTCCAGGTTCTGGCTGTTACACATAATGCTGCTATGAATATAGTGGAACAGACATCCTTGTTGTATCAATGTGCATCTTTTGGGTATATGCCTAAGAGTAAAATTGCTGCATCTTGTGGTAGACTGATTCCCAGTTTCCTGAGGAATCTGCATACTGATTTTCATAGTGGCTGTACAAGTCAGCACTCACACCAGCAGTGGAGGAGTGTTCCCCTTTCTCCACATCCTTTCCAGCATATACTGCTATGTTGTTTTTGATTTTATCCATTCTGACAAGAGTAAGATGGTATCTCAGGTTTGCATTTCCCTAATGGCTAAGGATGTTGAACACTTTCTTAAGTGTCTCTCAGTCATTTACACACCTCTACTGAGAATTGTCTAATTAGTTCTGTATCCCACTTTTTAAGCGGATCCTTTGATGTTTTGGAGACATACTTCTTGAGTTCTTTGTAAAATTTGGAGATCAGTCCTCTGTCAAATGTGGGGTTAGTGAATATCTGTGGGTTGCCTTTTTGTCTTGTTGACTGTGTCCTTTGCCTTACAGAAACTTCTCAGTTTCTAGATGTCCCATTTATTAATTGTCAGTCTTAGTATCTGTGCTACTGGAGTTATATTCAGGAAGCTGTCTCCTGTACCATTTTGTTCAAGGGTACCTCCCACTTTCTCTTCTAAGAAGTTCTGTGTGGCTGGGTTTATATTGAGGTCTTTAATCCATTTGATCTTAAGTTTTATGCATGGCAATAGACATGTATCTTCAGTCTTCTACATGTCAGCCTCCAGTTATGCTAGCATCATTTGTTAAAGATGCTTTCTTTTTTCCATTGTATAATTTTATCTTCTTTGTCAAAGACCAGGTGTTCAGATGTGTATGGGTTAATATCAGGGTGTTCAATTTTATTCCATTCATCTACCTGTCTATTTTTTGCCAATACCAAGCTGTTTTCAGGACTATAGCTCTGTAATAGAGCTTGAAGTCAAGGATGGTAATGCCTCTGGATGTTGACTTGTTGAACAAGGTTGTTTTGGCTATCCTAGGTCTTTTGCTTTTCCATATAAAGTTGAGAATTTTTCTTTCAAGGTCTGTGAAGAATTGTGCTGGGATTTTAATGGGAATTGTGTGAAATCTGTATATTACTTTTGGCAAGATTGCCATTTTTACTATGTTGATTCTACCTATCCAAGAGTATAGGAGATTGTTCCAATTTCTGGCGTCTTCTTTAATTTCCTTCTTTAAAGACTCAAAGTTCTTGTGTTACAGGTCTTTCCCTTGTCTCTGACTCTTTTACTGGCTTCTTGGACCCTACACTTCATACTGGGTAGCCTTGTTCAGCCTCAATACATAGGGAAGTATTTAGTCTTACTACAAATCAATATGCCATGTTATGTTGATATCAATGGGAGGCCTGTCCTTTCCAGAATAGAAATGGAGATGGAGTGGTTTAGGTAGTAGTGAGGGGGAGGGCTCAGAGGGAAGGACTTGGGAGGAGAGGAGAAAGTAGAAACTGTGGCATGGATGTAAAATTTAAATAGTTTTTAAAAATTAAAAAATCAAATATTAATAATAAACTTTAAAATAAATAATTGGTGGGGGGTTATCTTCCTGTATATATGTTTCTCTTACTGGTTGAATAAAACACTGTTGGCCAATAAGACAGGAAGATAGGTGGAACTAGGAGAGAGGGGGATTCTGGGAAAGGTAGGCAGAGAAAGTCAGCCCTAGTCACTGTACAACAGTTTTTAAAGCTATTATAGCTTCCATGTGTTTATTTAGGTCTGAACAGTGGTGAAACCAGGCAGGACAAGAGAAATCCACCAAAACAAATAATTATTTACAATCTAAGCTTTAGTCTCATTAGGAAAATTTCAGTCAAACAGAGATAAATTCTAGAAAGAAGGTTATCTTCATACATTTCAGAGATCTACAGAACGTGGCATTTAAAATGTTTTAATAACAGTTTTTTCTATGACAATGAGATATGTCTAATCTTGGAAACACCAGTCTACTTAAGAGAAGATGATGGGCATCAAAGAAAATCCATGGGGTTCTTTGTGGCAATGGTAAGCCACATGCCAAGGAAATTCCCTTGGCTTGAATGCTGACAGCATGCTGTCTAAATGGGACAAGCAAGACACAAAAAAGAGTGACTGCAAAACTTGCCAAGGTGGGAAAGCCCTTCAGAAAATCTTGCTTCATGGAAAAGTCTGTAGACTTTTCCTTGCCACCCGCTTTGGTTTTTCTCCACCAGTTGCTTGGGCTCTGCTGTGTTGTAGTCCCCAAATGACACACAAGACGCTGTATTAATTATGAAGCTGTTGGCCTTGCTTGTTTCTTACTGGCTAGCTCTGACTTAAGTATTTAACCCATCTAAGTATTTCTCTTACTGGACGGATATCTTACTTATCTGGCGGGCTACATGATGACTCCCTGTGTTTCTCCTACCCAGAGTACTCCTCAACTCCTAGTCCCACCTATCTTGAAAGTCTATCAGAGAAGCTAGTCCTATAGAATGAAAATGGATGCTCCAAGATTATAGAGGAACCTTAGGCAGCAAGCTGTTTTTATAATTTCTCACATTTTTGGAAGTCGCTTTACTTATACTTCCTGCTTACTCAGTTACTTCTGGCATCTCTGAGGGAGTTGAAGACTATATAGTTATAGTTTTCATTGTTTACCAGATTCAGAAAGGAAACTCACTGAAGAAATGTAAAGCATATAAATTTGAGAGACATAAAAAGATAATTTGATAATGCAAATTAGAATAGAAAATAAATTATGTACAAGACTTTGGACTCACCAAGATAAGATAAATAATGAAGTTTTTCCTCTGAATTTCTCAAATGCAGATGGACTATGTATTTTCTCTGAACTTGTCAAATGTAAATGAACTAGATGTTTTCTCTGAACTTGTCAAATGTAAATGGATTAGATATTTTCTAAGAATTTGTCAAATGCAAGAGGACTAGATATTTCTCTGATGTTTTCAAATGCAAATGAACTAGATACTTTCTCTGAACTTGTCAAATGCAAATGAACTAGATTATTTTCTCTGAATTTTTCATATGCAAATGTGCCAGACATTGGTGACAACCTTCTT